AGAGCCCCAGTGTCCCCACAAGACACCCCAGTGCTCCCAGTGCCCCCCACAAGACACTCCAGTGCTCTCAGTGCCCCCACATGACACCCCAGTGCCCCCCACAAGACACTCCAGTGCTCCCAGGGCCGCCCCAAGACCCCCTGTGTTCCCAGTGCCCCCCACAAGACCCCCCAGTGCTCCCAGTGCCCTCCACAAGCCACGCTGGTGACTCCAGCGCATGTGCCATTCACACCAGTGCCCCCCACAACGCACCCCAGTGCGAGCCAGTGTCCCCCACAGGGACCCTGGTGCCCCCCCAGTGCCCCCCACAGTGCACCCAGTGCTCCCCATGGCCCCTGCACCCTGGGGTGCCCCGTGCCAAGGAGCCGCGGCCTTCCCTGTGCCGCCCTCCGGCGCGAGCCAAGGAAGGAGACGGAGCCGCCATGCCGGGAGCGCCTTTATTGCCCGCGCCGCCACCGCTGCGGCCTCCTCGCGCCGCCGCCGGCTCCCTCGCCGTGCGCCGGCCAGCGGCAGAACCGTCACCATTACTAAACTCAGTAATGGTAACGGTTTCCCCGCCGGCCGAGGTCGGGCTGCGCCCGGAGCCGCTCGGCGCCCGCCGCTCGGCGCCCCGCGGAGCCCGTCCTGCCCCCCAGCGCCATCACTCTGCCCCACGCTCCAGCCCTCCCGAATCCCAGCCCCTGGCAGCTTCAAATCCCGGCTCCTTGGTGTCCCACGTCCCAGCTCCTCCCGCTCCGGATCCCGGGTGCCCCGTGTCCTGGGTGTCCTGGGTGCCCCGGTCCCGGCCCGCGTGCGGCGGCGGCAGGTCGGCGTGGCGGCGGGGGCGAGCCCGGGGGAGTACATCATCTATACTGTAGTGTCTCATAGTGAACTTACAGTATACGATGATATCCCGCCCGGGGCCCGCGGCTCGGCGGGATGCGGCGGGATGCGGCGGCACGGCGAGCGGCGCCCGCTTGGACAGCGCAGCTCGTCAGGGCGGCCCAGAGCAGGAGCCAGCACCCCAGGGCGAGCAGTGGGGCTCCCAAAAAACTGGGGCGAGCAGAGGATGTCCCAGCAGAGGTGGCCAGAGGGCACCCTGGCACCCCAGGGTGTGTATAGGGTGTCCCAGCACCCCAGGGAGGGCATGGGGGTCCCAGGAGCCCAGGGAGGGCAATGGGGATCCCAGTACCCCAGGGAGTGCAGCAGAGATCCTAGTACCCCAGGGTGGGTCATGGGGGTCCCAGCACCCTAGGGAGGATAATGGGGGTCCCAGCACCCCATGGAGGGCAGTGGGGGTCCCAACACCCCAGGGAGGGCAGCGGGGGTCCCAAAAAACTGGGGTGAGCGGAGGATGTCCCAGCAGAGGTGGCCAGAGGGCACCCTGGCACCCCAGGGTGTGTATAGGGTGTCCCAGCACCCCAGGGGGGCCCTGGGGGTCCCAGGACCACAGGGTGGGCAGCAGAGATCCTAGCACCCCAGGGAGGGCCATGGGGGTCCCAGCACCCTAGGGAGGATAATGGGGATCCCAGCACCCAAGGGAGGGCAGCGGTGATCCCATTACCCCAGGGAGGGCAATGGGGATCCCAGCATCTCAGGGAGGGCAATGGGGATCCCAGCACCCAAGGGTGGGCAGTGGGAGTCCCAGCACTCCAGGAAGGACAGCACAGATCCCAGCATCCCAGGGAGGGCCGTGGGGGTCCCAGCACCCCAGGGTGGGCAGCGGGGGTCCCAGCACCCCTGGGAGGGCAGCGGGGGTCCCAGCACCCCTGGGAGGACAAGGAGGGTCCCAGCACCCCAGGGAGGGCAGCGGGGGCACCCACCTGTGCGGGCGGCGCTGGGCCGAGCCCGCCGGCCGCCTCAGGGACCCCCCGCGGCAGCCTTATAAAACCTGCGCCGCCTCATCTGCATATCGCACATCTGCCCGCACAGCTGGGCGGCCCCGTAACCCCTTGGTGCCCGGGGCGGCCGAGCCCCGAGGGTCAACGCTTGCCCCCGCGCCCAGGGGCTGCCCATGGGTCCCACCGCCCTGCTGGGCACAGGGACGAATTCGGGCCCCCCATGGGCCTGGCAGAGCTGCCCGGCCACAGGGACGGTGCCATGGGGGGGACCCTGGGGTCCCCTCCCTGTGTCACGTTTGCAGGGCACGAGCCAGGTCCTGGGCACGGGGTGGTGGCAGCTCATGGGGACAGGGTGCTGGGGACACTGGTGCAAGGTGGCAGCGGGGGCTGTGTCCCCCTGCACGGGTGATCCAAGGCGAAGCACAGGCGCGTGCAGAGAGCTCATGCCCGGGCAGTGCCCCCCGAGCGCGTGTCCCCAAATGCCACGTCCCCTGGCCATATGTACTGCCCCGAGGGATAGGTCCCCAACAGTGTCCCCAGCAGTGTCCCCAACAGTGTCCCCAGGAGGGCCGTGTCCCCTGGCCAAGCACGATGAGTCCCCTGGGAGCACGTGTCCCTTGGCCTCCCCATGTCCCCCAGAGGGACCTGACCCCCACAGGGACATGTTCCCAAAGGACACATCTCCTGGCCATGTGTGTCCACAGAGGGCCATGTCACCAGGCAGCGCATGACTCTGGCCATACGTGTCCCCTGGCCATGCGTGTCCTCAGCGCCCTGCGTCCCCATGGGGCTGTGCCCCACAGCAAGCGCCGTGCCCTGGGGCCGGGTTGTTTGTGCTGGCCGGGCAGGGACGCGCTCGCCTTCCTGGAAATCGCCTGGGGGGCTGCGATAAGACCCCGCCGCCCGGCCCTGATAAGCAGCAGTGCCTGCTATCAGCTCCTGGCCGGGCACGGGGCGCCCCGAGCTGCTGTCACCTTGGGGGGACAGGGACAGTGTCGCCCTCGCTGCCCCCCGCCTGGCCGGGCAGGGTCAGACCCCAGTGCCAGCCGGTGTCCGACCGTGGGGACACTGGCACTAGGGGCTTGCAAGGCGCTGTCCCCTCCAGTCTGGGGTCCCTTGCCATGTCCCCGCAGGGTCTGTGGCCCTCGCTAAGCGGTGGCACTGTCGTCCCAACAGTCAGAACAGGGACACAGGCGGAGTGGCCGCAGACCCTGCCGCCTCTGGGCCAATGGCACCATCATGGGGGATGCCAGGGGGACACTGGTGCCACCTCAGAGCCATTGGTGCCACCCTGGAGGGGTGCCCTGTGGGGCCATCAGAGCCATCCTGGGACCACTGGTACCACCCTAGAGCCATTGGTGCCAGACTGGGACGAGCCCCACCAGGCCACTGGTGCCACCAAGAGGGGACCCCATGGGGTCACGGTGCCACCCTGGGGGACCCTGAGCAAGCCCCATAGGGCAACCGGAGACACCCCATGGGGTGGCAGGTATCCCTGTGGGGCCATCCCTGCTACAACTGGGCAGGACGGGGCACCCGGGGCCGCCCAGGGCCGGGAGGGCAGCGCCACTGGGGGGGACACGGGGACCCCCAGGGCCCCGCGGCTGCGGGGCAGCGTGTCCAGCCGCAGATACGGTGCCGGCCACGGCACCGAGCCCGGTCCTGCCCCAGAGGCACAAGGGGCTCTGGGGGGGTATCCAGAGCAGCAGGGGGGCTGCGCACCCCCATGCTGTGCCCACACAGGAGCCCCGATGCCGGTGGCATTGCCCTGGGGCCGATGGACCTGCCATGGGGCCGGCCGCGGCGCTGCGAGGCCGCTATCGGGGCCGGCGCTGGCGCAGATGGGGCGCCTCGCCCGGCACGCCTGCCCACACCGCCCTGCAGAGATAAGGAGGGTCCCCGGCCCCCCCGCAGCGCCCGGGGACAGGGGCGGCTCCCCAGGGCAGGGGACAGTGGGGACACTGTGGGGCAGGGGCAGCTCCCCAGGGCAGGGGACACGGGGGGCACTGGGGGACAGGGGCGGCTCCCCAGGGCAGGGGACACGGGGGGCACTGTGGGGCAGGGGCAGCTCCCCAGGGCAGGGGACACGGGGGMCACTGTGGGGCAGGGGCAGCTCCCCAGGGCAGGGGACACGGGGGMCACTGTGGGGCAGGGGCAGCTCCCCAGGGCAGGGGACACGGGGGACACTGTGGGGCAGGGGCAGCTCCCCAGGGCAGGGGACACGGGGGGCACTGGGGGACAGGGGCGGCTCCCCAGGGCAGGGGACACGGGGGACACTGTGGGGCAGGGGCAGCTCCCCAGGGCAGGGGACACGGGGGGCACTGGGGGGCAGGGGCGGCTCCCCAGGGCAGGGGACACGGGGGACACTGTGGGGCAGGGGCAGCTCCCCAGGGCAGGGGACACGGGGGGCACTGGGGGGCAGGGGCGGCTCCCCAGGGCAGGGGACACGGGGGCCACTGTGGGGCAGGGGCAGCTCCCCAGGGCAGGGGACATGGGGGACACTGTGGGGACAAGGACGGCTCCCCCAGGGCAGGGGACACGCAGCAGCCCTGGACGGGCACCCCAAGGCCTGGGCACGGCGGGGGGCAGCAGCCCAGGCCCTGGCCGGGCTCTCGGGGGCCGCGGTGGCTCTGCGCCCTTGCCAAGGCTGCCCCGTGCCGCCCTGCAGAGCCCTGTGGCCCCGGAGCAGGGTCCAGCTCCGCTCTGTGCCCGGCCCCAGGCGGTCCCCAGCAGGGCCAGGCAGCGACGCCAGCCCCGCAGCAGCGGCAGCACCCCAGGGCTCCGGGTGCCACCTGGGTCCCACGGACCCCGCACATGGGGGCAGCGGGGCTGGCAGCACCGCCTGCTGCAGTGGGCCCTGTGCCTGGCAGCTCCCCACACGTGGCACTCCTGTGTCCCCCCAAAGCAGCCCTTTGTGCCCCCCAAGCAAGGGGGACAGTGGGGAGCAGTGAAGGCAGCGCTGCCTGCACCAGGATGGGCGCTGGGAAGCGCCACAGCCCGGGCAGGACGTTTGGTTTTTGGGTGTTTCTCCCCAGCCCTTCCAACCAAACAGCCTCCGTTTTTGCGGCGCAGCTGCAATTGCCCCTCTCCAAACCGGCCGCCTCGCCCGGGCGCCCCGCAGAGCAGAGCGCAGCGGGAACACGGAGCGGGACGCGGCTCCGCGCAGAGCGGGAGCAGGGAGCGCTCGGCCGCCGCGCGGGCACCTCGCACCCCGCCGGAGCTGCAGGAGATCCCACATCCCCGGCGCGGCACGGGGCTCCCGCTGCTCCTTCCCACTGCTTCCCGCGTGCCGCACGCTCCGGAGCCGCTCGCCGGAGCGCCGGGACTCCCTCCCAACAGGGACAGCGCCAAAAACTCCATTATAGAATTCAGGATGACAAATGACAACACGCAGAATGCCACCGTCTTTCAAATCAATTTTTATTTCTTTTTATAAGCAGTTTACACACTTCTTAGCAAATAGATTTGTTCTAAGCACAGGCTTCAGCATCTCAGGCCACGACACTCCCACCAGAAACCCATTTTCTGGATTTCTGTGCAGCAAACACATCTCCCCACCATACTCACACATTCGGCCGTCTTCAGCTCAAGCTCCTGCCCGCCTCGCTGCCTTCCAGGCAGTGTCGTTCACACACAGGGAGCTCAGCCCCATCTTCAGTTATTCATCCTCCTGTTTCAGCAGGAAGAAATGGGGAAGGGGGTTACAGGCTTCTCCAGCTCTCCTGTGCTCCGCGGCAAACATGAAGGTTCTCCCGGCATCTCCAAGGTGGCTTCTTGCTCATCTCCTCCTGGAGCTGGAAGGTTATTGCAGTTAGATAAGCAAGGAGTTACAGAAGCCTCGGATAGAGGATTTTTAGGCTATTAACCCTAAAGTCATAGAGCATTTCTTGGTGGACAGGAGCGCCATTAGCTCAGCCTTGTGGCCAGGCCCTTGTTTTCCAAGGACGGGAAGGGAGCTGTTCCCTGGCTGGCAGGAAAAAGGCAGCTTCAAACGGAAGGGCATTATGTTTCACAGGACACGGGCAGCCTTTAACTTCCCAGCCGCCCCTCTGGTTATTGCTCTGGGTCTAGGTGCCCTAAACCACCTCTGCTACTAGGAAAGAAGGTGCCTCTTCATGCATTTTAATTCTCCCGCAGGCAGTGCAAGGAAATACCCTCCTCGGCAGCGCCCCCAGGGTGCTGCTGCCCAGCACTGCTTTATATTCGATGCAGTGCAGCTGGTGACAGAGCCTGCAGCTTCGTGAAGCGCTCAAAACGTTAAAAACCAACCAACAAACAGGGCAAGCTCTAATATACATACATATGCATGCACCTCTGGCACAGGTCAGGCTGGCAGCGGTAATCAGGACGCCCGAGCACAGCTCTGTCGTGGTAACCCAAGTCAAACGAGCTTTTCCGTTGCAGTTTTGTGGTCTTTTTTTTCCTCCAGGTCTTAGAGATCTAGTGAAAAAGGAACCGACAAAGTGAAATCTTCGCAAGGCTAAAAACTAAGCCCGCTTGCACAATGAGCTTTGGCAGAGAAATGGCCTTTTAAAGTTATAATACGCCCACTGTTCTAAAGGTCTGGGTCCCACAGCTACTTGGCTATCGCTTCCATAAACATTCCCGGCGCCTCTTCCGGCGCAGTGCAATCCAGCCAGCCCTGCTACAAACGGAGGATTCAGGGCCGGGAAGCTGCCACCCAGCCTGGCACCCTCCCAAGTGAAGGGGACCCCTGTTTAGAGCAGGAGTTCCCAGCGCCGGGAGCAAACGCGTTGTGCGTTTCTCATGCAATTCAATTAACCGTTTACGAGTTTGCAGGCGACTGGAGGGCTGCAGCAGATGCAGGAGGCGGCCGCCCCAGGGGACGGCACCGCGGAGCCCCAGCAGTGACAGGGACAGAGCACCCAAAGCGCCAACCCCAGCCGTGCAGGACAACCTGAGCTGGTGAGCAGACCGCGTGGTGGTTGTTCCACCAAGGTAACGTGAGGCAGCGACCTTGGATCCTGCCTGAAAACAGCGGCTGGGCACTCGGAAAAGCAGGTCACCATAAACAGGCTGCTGTAATATCGCAGGGATTGTTGCAGGCTGAACTTGGAGCAGGCACCGCTCCGTTTTCTGGTGCAGAAAGAGCTTCCACCTTCACCTCTGCGCTCCCGGTGCTGGAATCTCCTCCTCCGGGAATGCCCATCGCTGATGCTGAAAATAAAGAGATTGGGTTTGTTCCAGAAACGGCCCTGTGCTGGGAAATGTCATATAATGCAAACAACCGAGCGCAGAAAGACAAGGAACAAATTGATAATTGAAAGCAGTTACTGAAAGAGACATAACAGGAAAGAGGCACGGGAATACATAAAGAAACTCAGCTAATAAAGCTGGGGTCTAGACTAAAACCCGTGTCTGGTTCTTAGGCGGTAATATGAATATAAATTAGACCCTGTCCACAGGCAGAAATGAGATCAGGTTGACAAAAAAATAAACAGATGCAGGATTCTTGAGCTGAATCTGTAAAATCCTGGTCCAGACACTACAGTAGGCAGAAGGAGGTTTTGCTGGTTAGCACTTTTTGGATTTTTGGATGCAGTCTAAACCTAAGATGACTCATTTTACTTTGCACGGATCAGTGTGTCAGAATGAGTTTAAAAAGACACATTTGAGTTTAATGCATCTATTGAAAAAAAGGAAAAAAAGAAAAAAGAAAACACGCAGAGGAGGCTGAAATCACAAAAGAAGGAAGTCATATGATAAAACCATGGAGATTAGTTTGAAATTTCTTTTAGGTCAGGTTTTGAAAACTTGTAAGAAAAAAAGAAAAAAAAAAAAGGACCATAAAACCATGCAAAACCTGGTGTGATTGGTGCTGCCTTCCCAGAGCCCAGCTGCACGTCAGGGAGTGTCCCGGGTTTGCTGCTTCCCAGTAGGGAAAAAATGTCATGTTGGAACTACAGACAGATGCCACACATTCCTGCCGGCTCATCCTGCAAGCCGTGATTCATCAGCTTCAAAACGGAGCAGGGGTTAAGCCAAACTTTTAGAAAACAAACGGCCAGCCCAGACACGGCGAGCCGGGCTTCCCAGTTCCTCCTGCTGCCCGCGGCATTTCCATGAGGATCCGCTGGTCACGAGGAGGTTTTCTCGCGTGCAAGCGTAGCGCCGGACCTGCTGGCCGGGCTGTGCGTGGCCTCCGCAGCCTCCTGGCACCAGCGACGCGCGGGAGCTGCTCGCAGAGGGGCAGAAAAGCTGCACAAACACCGCTGCCGCAGCCGGCGGCCGCGTGCGGGTGGCAGCTGCTCAGGAGCAGCCGCCACAACAGGTGGATTTGCTTCCAGAACTGGAGCCTGGCACCTCAGGGATCCCCGCAGCAGGTCTGTCCTCCAAGGGAGAAGCGATACAAGCCCAGCTAGAAGCAAGTGCTGCTGCCTGGTGGAGACTTCAAGTCCAGGCGGTCTAAACTTCCAAAGAGGATGACCTCCAAAGAGGATGACCTCCAAAGAGGACAACATCCAAAGGGGACGATCTCCTCCAAGGAGGACAACATCCAAAGGGGACGACCTCCTCCAAGGGGGACAACATCCAAAGGGGACGACCTCCTCTAGGGCGGACCACCTCCTCCAAAGAGGATGACCTCCTCCAAAGAGGATGACCTCCTCCAAGGGGGACGACCTCCTCCAAGGGGGACGACCTCCTCCACGCTCCCAGGAAAACCCCTCCTTGGCGTCCACGCACATTTTGGTTTGAGCATCGCAGCCCGGCTGCAAAACCAGCCTTGGCAGGAGGGCTGGGATGTGGCGGAGGGCGCCTGTGCCCGACCTGCCCGTCCCGCTGCGCGTGGTCCCAACCTGTCACCTAACAGCATCCCGTCCCGTCCTGTCCCGCAGCATCATGTAGAGGGGACCAGGATGAATCCGTGTCCAGCCTGGGCTTCCCTAAAGCTCCGCTTTGAGCCTCCTTGGCACAGCATCGGGGCTGCTGCGCCTTGATCCAGGCGTGGGGCTTCGCTGCTCGCGAGCTCCGACCTAGGGCGAAGGGAGGGATGTGGAGGCGCCAAGGGGGGTCCGGGCCGCACCCCGGGGGGTGACGGGGGTCTCGGCAGGGCAGGCGGGAGCCCGGACGGGCGCGCGGCGACACTGCCGCCCCCGGAGGGGCCGTGCTGGGGACCGGCCCTGCGACCCTGACGGAGCCCATGTTGGGGGGGGGTCTCCTTTTCCCCAGGCCCCCAAGGACACTCGCTGTCCCCCCCCGTGTCCACCCACAGCGCACCTTGGGCACAGAGCCCCCCTGCCTTCCCAGGGCCCCCTTTGCAAGGTGCCCCCACCCCATGGGACCCTCCAGCCCCACAAAATGGAGGGGTCACCCCCCCAAACACACACACCAGCCCCCAGGGGCTCCCACAC